GGAAAAGTATCATATCTCATACACCGTATAGGCCAATCAAACTAATATTTTTTGAGGAATTAATTTCTAGCAAGCAGGAAATCGTTTTAATACCTTCATTAAGTCCTGAAAACGTGTAATCTCAGTTAGCAACATCCCAGGAGGACATAATTTTTCGTAGCGAAAAAACCGCCCAATTTGTGCATTTTTTCAGTTTTTTGCTTGTGGCTGGAAAACGATGCGGCGGACGGAAAATGTCATTCCATTCAATATTATAAAAAGAAAGGACTAAATTAAAGTATAAAATTTTGCAAACGGCTTATTTCCATGCTGCGTGAGAAATTGGTACAGCAGCGGTTTGAAGTAAGGCAAAGTGTTGAGGATGCTGACATCCTTATTGTCAACACTGCCATTCAATTGGCAGTTACTTAACTTTGCAACAGTCATCATACGACAGTTCTCATTTCAGTAGGTCAACTGTCTTTGACAGCCGACAGCCCTCATTTATTCACCAAAGACAAATGAGACTTCCTTGGACAAAATCCTCTACAAGATATTATATTTTCAAAATGTCTGGCATCTTGATGTCAAACAAATGCTGCCGCCGCCTAATCTATTCTGCGGGTATTGCTTCAAATCCAGAGCTGAAATGTTCGATAATATGCCTCAACTGCAATGGCCAGTCATGCTCAAATTAAGCACCCTTCAAGGGTGAACGTGTCACTCACATTGCCGTAGAACCAGAAATAGGTTTGGAGTCTCTTTGATGATGATTGTACTAAAGACCTTCAGAGCTTCTCAGATGAATTGCAAAGGGCAATAAACTTCAAGTATTTTTGTTTTTATTGCACCTAAACTATTAAGAACTATGATTAACTTACTTCTTAATTCTTAATAAATTATTATCAATAATACTTATTAAAGATTCAATGACAATGCACAACTTTGTTAAAATTAAAAATTATTTTTATTTGTAACACTCGAATCTCTACTGTGGTTGTCTTGGTTTATTTTTTTCCAAGATAGATTTTGGCATTGTCAACTTTGAAACATAAACAATGCCGCTAATGCCGCTTATTGGTCGCTATTGTAAAATTGATGTCAACCTGCAGAAACACCTCATTTTGTGACCAATCAGGTTCAAGCGTTATTGTTTATGTTTCAAAGTTTTCAATGTCAAAATCTATCTCGGGAAAAAATAAAGTGTATATTACTTTAACATTTCAAAGCACTGAGAAGTGCTACTGATTTTGGATATACATAGTGCACTGGATGGTGCAAAGAGCTCACAGAAAGCCAAGAACTCCATAAGTGTAATTCATCAAAATGTGCAATCGATCGGAAACTCGGTGGAACAAATTAATTACATGCTGAAGGATCATCCAGAGTGCAAGATACTATGTGTGTCTGAACATTGGAAATCAGAAGAACAACTAATGAACCATAAAATTCAGGACTTTAATTTAGTGTCAATGTTTTGTCGAAATGAGGGAAAACATGGGGGCTCAGCAATATACTGCAGAAAGGGACTAAAAGGTACCAAAAGAACAAAAATTAATAGAACTTCTGTAAGTGGCGTTTTTGAATGTTCTGCCTTTGAATGTAGTTTTGGTAAGATGAAGACTTTATTTATTTCAATATATAGACCTCCATTGGGAGATATAAACATTTTTTTAGACAAGACTGAATCTTTGTTAATTGACGTATTTAAAGAAAGCAAGTTACTAGTCATAGCAGGTGATTTTAATATTGAACTTTTGCAAGAAAATAGAATAAGAACTGAATTACTCTCCATAATGAAATCTTTCAATGTAAATTTAACTGTATTGGAAAACACACGAATATCAAACAGGAGCGCAAGCTGCATTGATAATATATTCACAAATTTCGAATATGCACACGCCCTGGTATTTGAAAATCATATTTCTGATCACACGGCACAAAAGATTGTCTTTGAAATAAACAAAATATCGAAATCCTTTCCAAAATACAGAAGGTGTTTTAATACAGAAAATAAACAAAGTTTTGTAAGTAGCCTAGAAGAACAAAATTGGTTAGGTATATATGACAGTGAAAGAGAGGATGTGAATCAACAGTGGAATCTTTTTATGAATATTGTAAAAGGCCTATTCAATCAAAGTTTTCCTCGAAAATTAGTCAGCAAAAAATCAAAGAAACCCCAAATAAATGTACATACCAATGCAGAGATCTTAGAATGTAAACGTCGGCTAGACATCTTATTAATGCTTTCTAGAAATAACCAACACCATAAGTTTTTATATAATAAACAGAAAAAAATATATGATAAAATGCTAATATCATTACGAACTGAAGAATTTGAAAAGAAAGTAAGAAACTCAGATAATAAAACGAAATGCATGTGGGCCATCTGCAAGGAATTGTCAGGAAAAGAGTCAACTGATTCAGAAATAAAAATCGAGGGAAACTCTGAATGTATTGCCAATGAATATAACAAGCACCTACTATCAGTCATTCCAGAGCTCCTAAAAAAATTAACCTATATCCCGTTTAGCTGTGAGATAAAAGAAAATGTTGAATCTATGTTTTTAAGGCCAGTGCTACTTAATGAAATTGTTGAAATGTCAAAAAAATTAAAAAATAAACACAGTAGTGGAGTAGACGAGATCCCGACCAGTATTGTAAAACAGGTAGCTCCGGTATTGGGAAATATACTGTCATATATAATTAATAACTCATTTGAATTTGGAATATTCCCTGATAATTTGAAGATTGCACTTATCAAGCCGTTGTATAAAAAAGGAAACCCTAAAGATCTGGACAGTTATAGGCCTATAAGTTTGTTGCCCAGTTTTTCAAAAATCTTTGAAATGGCAATGAGTAATAGATTAATTAATTTTCTGAAGGAAGGGAACATTTTTAACCAGTGCCAGCATGGTTTTTTGAAGGATAAATCGACACAAACAGCTATATTTGAACTTATTAAACATATTTTATTTCACATTGAAAATGGGGAGTTGGTGCTTGGTATGTTGCTCGACTTATCAAAGGCTTATGACTGTCTAGATAGGGAAATACTACTTAAGAAATTAGAACTGTATGGAGTCAGAGGAAATGCAAAAGAGTGGCTCAGTTCATATTTGAACAACAGAAGACAATGTGTCAGCATAACAAAAGATGGGAAAACTGACCAGTCAAAAATATTATATAATGAAATAGGCATAGCTCAGGGCAGTATGTTGGGTCCAATTCTCTTCATAATTTTTGTAAATGACCTACCCCTTTTAATAAACAAGCCCTATCAACATATTGTGAAATATGCAGACGACACAAACCTACTTATTGGTATGAAAAAAATGCCAGAGTTACTAACCCAGTCACAATATTTTTTTGATATAGCAAACAATGCAAGGTTTTTAGGCATTTATATTGACGAAAATTTAAATTGGGCACACCATATCAATATTTTAATTAAAAAATTGAACTCAATATGCTACGGGATAAGGGTCATTGGCAAATATATGAATGAGAGGACACTCAGGATGCTGTATTTTGCAAATTTTGAATCCGTCTTAAAATATGGTATTATTTTTTGGGGAAGGGATAGTCAAGTTCAGAGTGTTTTTGTAGTTCAAAAAAGGTTGATAAGAGTAATCACTAACAGTGGGTACTTGGAGAGTTGCAAGACAAAATTTAAAAATCTAGGAATAATGACCCTATATGGAATTTATATTTATGAATGTCTAATGTTCTTTTTTAAATACAAAGACACTTTTGATATTGGCCAACAATGTAACTACAACACGCGAACCTTGGATGTTAGCTACCCATTACATAGACTTACATTAACAGAAAAGTGTCCTCATTATATGTGCCTAAAATTGTTCAATGCTCTGCCAGAAAATATGAAAAAAATTAAATCCCAAAAAATATTCAAACGAGAAATCAAAAAACTGTTAGTTGACCTAGAACCCTATAATTTAAGAGAATTTTGTAGAGACCTTTAACTTAATGTACCGATACCTAGTATTTACTTGTATGTATGACGTCATTTCTTTCTTTGTTGCACCTGTAATGTAATGATGATTTGAAATAAAGAATATTATTATTATTATTATTATTATTACCTACTACTGGATTGAATTAAAAGTTTTGTATGACATTGGACGCAAAATTTAGCCCTTTTTATTATTGAATGCAATGATATTATTTTACGTCTGATGCATCGTTTTCCAGCAACAATCAAAAAAACTAAAAAAGTGCAAAAATTTTGAGGTTTTTTGGCTACCAAGTTATGCTCACCTCCTGGGATGGTGCAAACTCAGATCACACGCATTTAGGATTAGGTAAATGAAAATATTGAAACGATTTCCAGCTTGCTGGAAATTAATTCTTCAAAACGATTTTTTTTTTTAAATTTAATTTTATTAGCCTAGTACTCAGATGGTGAAGGTTCAAAATAGCTTGAGCGACAAATTACCAGTGGAATGTGGTGTTCTACAGGGTACTGTGCTAGGTCCGATACTTTTTTTAATTTACTTTAACTCCTTAACAAAAGCTACTAAGGAGAATAGGGTCATCTGCTTTGCTGATAATACTGTCCTGTTAATAAGAGACAGAACTAGCTGAACCTTTTTAAAGAGCTTTTTATGCCTTGTAGGTTTCAGGTTATTTCATACAAATATTTGGGAATTTGTACTAGATCAGGGGTAACTTGCAAACAAAATTGACAAAATGTGATGAAGATATTGTCAAAAGTAGTTTATAGAGTTTTTCGTAAGTTGAATAAATAATCATTAATAAAGTAAAAGACATTAGGTATCATTTAAATAGATCTAGTGAAAAAAAAATACTGATTTTAATGGTTTTGGCCCAAAATGTTTGAAAAATATACATGTTTTCATAAATGTGAGCTTAAAATAAAAATATTTGCTTCTTTTTTTTGTTGAATTTTTGAGCAGTTCAAAATTTTTTTTTCTCCATTAAAAAGGTTTCCCTAGTCAATATTATAAATAAATAACGCACCAAAAATAAGTTATTACCTTGAAGCAGGTCTGGCAGTACTTGTAGCATAACTACTGGCACCAGTGAAAGGATCCACATTCGTCCCAACTTGTCCAGTAGTGTCTTGATAACTTGGAGTGTATCTACTTCCTCCTGTGAATGGATCTTGATAGGCCGCATTGGTTGGAGGAACATACTGTTCTTTGCTATTTTTAAGTATAAAATCTACAATCTAAATAAGCATGTAGTTAAATATATACAAACTAAATTGATGTAAATTACTCACTTGTTCTAAATAATCAGCAGGCAAAAAGTTTTTAGTTATAAAAGCATTGGCAGCTTTATACACATCATCCCCTTTGTTATAAGGAAGCTTCAAAGGAGGTTTTCCATCTTCCACATCAACAACAAATACAAAATCATACGCTTTTCCTTCATACATAGTTTTTCCAGTGGAATCTTTATCTGTTCCGCCCATTACATCACCCACTTTTTCCCAATGACTGTTGTCCCCATCCAAAACCCATGTGTAAGCCACAACTTTACCCTCTTCCCGAACCATTTTCATCTGTCCAGCTCGTTTACCAGGATCATACAAAGCTTCTCTTCCAGGCAAATCTGACACTTTCACACCGCCAATTTCTTGAACACTTTGCCTCTGCAATGCTTCAACTTCTTCAGCAAATTTGATCAGAGCTGATTCCTCAGCATATCTAGACTCATCTCTAGTGAATATTCGTACAAGACCGTCACTACTGCCTGTAACAATGTCACCATTTTGCAAACATGCCACTGACCAAATTGATTGAGCTGGTAAAGTTATACTTTGTACATTAACCCCATTTTCCCAATACCTGACTGTTCTGTCTTCATCTGAGGAAACAAAACATTCAGCTCCTTCTGCTTTACACCTTGCTATACTGTAAATATAGTTTGTATGGCCATAAAAGGTATTTAAATTCTCACCAGCATAGTTCCAAACTTTAATTGCTGCATCATTAGCAGTACTCATAAAAATATTAAGTTCAGGAAAATCAGCTAATGATCTCACACAATCCGTATGGCCAGTTAGGGATTGTAATTTTTGACCATTATTATCCCACACTCCAATAGTTTTATCCGCACTAGCAGTAATAACTTTTGTATTATTCAATTGCAAAACACTCCAAATAGCGGCAGCATGTCCTGTAAATGTAGCAATACATTTCGGTGATCCATTAATTATTTTAAAATGTTTTGCAGTCATATCCCAAGAACCGCTCAAAAATGCATTTGTTTCCTGAGTTTTGGCTAAACAACTAACCGTATTAGAATGGTCTTTGATAGTGAACGTAGCAAAAGGTTCTGAAGGCTTATAAATAAGAATTACATGGTCGTTTCCTCCGGTCACAACTAAACCGTCTGGAAACTCTTCAGTGGGATCGAGGTACAGGACACTAGCCACAAAGTTTTTCTGGCCTATGTAGCTCATGACTTCTTCGTGCGTATTCTGGAAAGGATTGCATTTCCAAAATTTTGCGGTTTTGTCTCTCGATCCGCTAACAATATCATCGTTTGGGGTAATCGAAATCGATCTCACGTCCAGCGAGTGCCCGTAGAGGGTTTTGCTGAGCTTGAATTCTTTATTCGCCATCGAGTATTTTCCTAATTAACTGAACACTAATGACTATTTTTGTTTTAAATTGATAAAAAGTGGCAACAAAAGTCAAAAATAGTCTACTGAAATTTTCAGGTTAGGTATCACGTATATGACGTCACGATTCCAGTCAAAATTTTTGCTGAGCAAGGATTTCAAATTGCCTTGTTGCCGTATTTCAATTTATTCTATAGAGCAGTTTTCCAGTGAGTCTGGAGCAGCTCATGAATGTTCTGAGCCGCTTTCGGGTGCAGAGTGCGAAGCTCCTAGAACACTTCACAACCATGATACTCTATGCCCTTTGCACTTGAACGCTTGAAAATCAGTTACGTCTGATTTGACAATACAAGTGAAATGGTAAACTAAAGGCTCTTCATTTGTACTTGCTCTACCTGCTCGAAAATTAGGAGGAGCTGCTCTTTATGAGCTTATATATGGGACAAGGGAACGCCAATCTGCTGAGATCTGCTTGAAGCAAGAAAAAAGAAAAGCAATACAAATGAACACACAATTTTAACATAATTCACCTTCCTTTTTTAACAAATAATTGACTGTAACAAATCAATGACGTCAAAAACGTTCACCGGTGCTTAAACCAGACATTTCAAATTGTCAAAAAAAAGTTATGACGTCTATTCTATGATAGGCTGTTCCCAAGACTTTGACAGTTTGCAACTTGTCAAAAACAATCACTTAGCTGAGTAAAGCCTAGTACTCATAATTGCGATATTCGCACTTTTTTGACATTGCTTCGACAAATTGACGTTTTATGCGTGAATCAAACGTCAAATTATCGAAGCAATGTCAAAAAAGTGCGAATTTCGCAGTTATGAGTACTAGGCTTAAGGGTAGGTATTATAAAACTGCTTTGACAGTTAACTTGAAGTTAACTTTTTGAATTACATGTAATTCCAGAAGTTAACTTTAAGTTAACTCTCAGAGTAGTTTTATAATACCCACCCTTACAGATTTATCTTGTAACGACAGCATTGAAAAACATGTATTAGGCGATGCTTACTGACAGTTTGCAAACTGTCAGAGACTCCTGTGAGAACAGACCTGATGACGTCTTCGATGTCAAAAAGTATGGACCCTCGTGAAACGAACTTTAGGTCCTTCAGGGAAAAGGGGCGAGGAAAATGAGAGCCGTTTGACAGCGTCAAACTCTGTTCACCCGAACGGGTGAAATTGTAGCCGAAGTACTTCCGAGTAACTCGGGACTAGTGATGAGCGATATATCACGAACTGTGATTTCATCACTGATATCTAAAAATCACGGATCACGACTGCTACCAAAGTTCTATAAAAAGCGTGACGTGATCACGGCAACGTAGCAAACTAATTTCTTGTTTTTTAAGAAATTTTTTTTCTTCTTGTAATCTCAAATTCCAAATTCCATATCGTCGTCATTTGCCGCCGCGAGATTTTGCAGATTTTAGCTGCCAAATATCTCAACCGTTAGTAGAAAAAAATAGCATCTGTCTGCATCAGTTTCAGTTGTACTAAAATATATTGGAAGTCGTGATTAAGTCACGCTTTAAAATCACTGATATTCAAAAATCACGGTATCAGTTAACAGTGTGATTTGAAAATCACGGTATCGCTCATCACTACTCGGGAGCGCTTAAAGCATGGCAGCTGAAAGCTAATTAAGGCCCAGTTGTACAATCTCAGTTCAAAGCAAAGTACAACTGAACTCGACTACTCGACTAGTACTTGAGCGTCCCCATTTGAAATACATTGCTGTCAGCTGTTAATCCAATTTTATCGATTTTGACACCAATGCATTTCAAATTCGAGTTCAGCTGAACTCTGTTTTGAACCAAGATTGTACAACTGGGCCTAAAAAAAAATACTTCCCATCGTTTCAGTTTAGGTGACGTTCTGTATCTTAACCAGAGTTACCAATCGGTATGAAGCGGTTCATCTATGGTAACATTCTGGTTCCTGAAAATGCGGTTTATATGTGGAACGCTTCGGTTTTGCTTCGATGCTAATCGCTAGATGACAGAATATTATCCTCTTAAAAATATATTTTCATGGTAGAGAGAAGTTGTGGGTTAAGGGCGAAGTGGAATTATAAAACTTCCTTGTTTACAAATTCGCCGACGTTTCAACGTTTTACTAACCCAAACTAACCCATCCACCTAGTGCCATCTAGTCCTTGAAAAGTTGGCATTTTATTTTAAAAAACCAAATTAATTTACTAATAGCGTAGAGTTCCTCGAGAGCGCTTAGTTTTTCGAATAAAATGCTAACTTACGAGGACTAGATCACACTAGGCGAACGGTTTACTTTGAGTAAAGTCTGCATTTTCTTGATTATTATTGATTCAATTTGATGTGTCTCTGGTTTGTTTAGAGGTCGCCGTTTTAAATGTCGCTCTTTTAATATGTCGCTGTTTTAAATGTCGTTCTTCATATAATATGTCGCTTTTTTGATATGGCGCCCTTTTGCAATGTCGCTATTTTTTTTACATGTCGCTGTTTCGGATATCGCTATATCGAAAGTGGGCGCTATCGATTATTATCGATAGTTTAAGTTTGATCTTTTGTCAATGCAAAAAAGTAGGTACAGGGTTATAGGTTATAAATGTCACCCCCCTCTATCTTTTTTATTTGACATTTTAGAAAAAAGTGTCCTATATAAAAGTTTTATGGTTGAAATTAAATTTTTTGAAAAACTCACTTTCGCATATACAGGATGTTTCAGAAAAGCTGGTCATGCTCCAACTTTCTTATGTCTTATGTTAAATCGTATACCCTATATATTATTGAACATTCGGATTCTACATGAAATTCTGAGCAAATTTCATGTGATATACCCTATACCTAAGTTCAACTGTTTTGGAAATATTGACAGTTGAAAATTGACTTTTTTGCAACTTTGACATGCTGTAAAACCTACACGGTTAATTTTAGAGCAAAACCGATATCACATTTTAGTCTTAGATTTTCATAAACTATCAGTTGACACTTATATTTGACACCAACTTTGCATTTAATCCATGATTAAAAATTCCAATTAAATTTAATCTCTGATTAAATTCAATATTGGTGTCAAATGATAGCCTATGAAAATCTAAGAAAAAATGTAAGATCAGTTTTCCTCAAACGTTAACCGTTTAGGTTTTACAGCCTGTCAAGGTTGCAAAAAAGTCAATTTTCAACTGTCAATATTTCCAAAACAATTGAACTTAGGTATAGGGTATATCAAATAAAATCTGCTCAGAATTCTATGTAGAATTCGAATATTCAATAATATACAGGGTATTCCATTTAAAATAAGAAAACTGGAGCACGACCAGCTTTTCTGAAACACCCTGTATATGCAAAAGTGAGTTTTTCAAAAAATTTAATTTCAACCATAAAACTTTTATTTAGGACACTTTTTTTTAAAATGTCAAATAAAAAAGATAGAGGGGGGTGACATTTATAACCAATAACCCTGTACCTACTATATAGTTATTTTTTTCCGAATGACAGTAAAAGCGGCCTTTTAATGACACTTGACAGGATCAAAAGTTGTATTTTTACTGCCTAGGCAGTAAAAGTGGACTTTTACTCGGCTATGCCTCGGCTATGAAACACCAGCCGCGGCATTAAATCTTGTACTTTTCTGCCTAGTAAAACAAATAACTATTGTTTTACTAGGCAGAAAAGTACGGCTAGTCTCCTAGCCTCGGCTATGAAACACCAGCCGCGGCATTAAATCTGCTTTTCTGCCACGTAAAACATATAATTTTTCTCCGAATGTTCAAATTCACACATGGACATCTTTTTTATATTTATTTCATTCATTATATCCAAATAATTAAATTATTTTGACAATTGTCATTGTCACCATTAATTTCAAATACCAAATTGAGTGAAATTATTACTTGGACACTGTCACTTAATGCCTAGTAAAAATACAACTTTTGATCCTGTCAAGTGTCATTAACAGGCCGCTTTTAGTGTCATTCGGAGAAAAATAACTATTTTCATCATAAATAATTTAAATTCTAAACTACGACCTCTAGTAAAGCCAGCTGACGACTTGTTAATGACGTCGGAAATAGTACCACGACACACCAATATAGCGACGATTACCAAAAACACAGTTCTCCGAGCTTGAATTTAACGTTCGCTTATCTAAAAAGTGTACTCGGTGCAGGCTTATTCGCGTTTCTTTATTAAAATTTATGACACTCTGATACAGCGTTCAACTGCTTTGTTCGCTCGCTGGTCACGTGATTACGGCTCCGCTCAGCTCGCTCTGCTCTTTGAGAAAAATACCGAACGCAAGGATAACCGCGAAATTCGCTCTTTTTTGACATTGGTTCGACAATTTGACGTTTGATTCATGCATAAAACGTTAAATTGTCGAAGCAATGTCAAAAAAGAGCGAATTTCGCGGTTATAAGTACTACGTACGCTTATACCCGTATGCACCGTTTAGACTTGAGAGTTAGAGCTTAGTTCAAAAATTTGCATACAAACGAAAAGTCCTAATCTGGTTTTAGCCACTAATCTGGATTATGTCCTTACGGTGCATTTGGGCGTTTAAACGCCGGAACGAGAACCGTGTGATTTTTATCCACACCCACACGCCTTTCCGAACGGCAGGAGTGCGCTTAGAAATGGAATGTGAAGGTAGAGTAGTTGTTTTGTCAGAGTTTTCTGACGTCATCACTTGGAGTGCACCCTGGGTGCCCTATTTTTGAAATTATTGGGGCGTTGCAGTAAATGTCAACGTCAAACCCGTTAAAAACCCGATTAAAAACCCCGTCCCCGAGTGAGGTAATTTGGGCGCACTCTGGGCACGTCAACAGAGTCAACACTTGATTTCTGAAGGATTCCAGCGTAACGCTCCGAGTAAGCACCTGTTATTTTATAAACGGTTTAGAGTTACTCTAGGGTCATTCTAACACTCAGAGCTATTTCTAAACGCAACCCTCGTGTGTGATTTTTAAGGTATGTTCCCACAGGAGTCTCTGACAGTTTGCAAACTGTCAGTAAGCATCGCCCATACATATATTCAATGCTGTCGTTAGGATAAATCTGTAACTCAGCTGAGCGATTGTTTCTGACAGGTCGCAAACTGTCAGACTCCTTTGGGAACAGACCTTTATACGACAGTTTCACAAAACAATTTTGTTCCGTTTCGATTTTTGTTTTGAAGTTTTCATAATAGGCTCGTTCAGCATATTTTTTTTATTACATATTCTAAAAGAGCGTATTGAGTTTAGCAGTTGTGCAAAATTTCATAATTTTCCGAGCCCTTGTTCATATTTAAATAAATTATCAAAAAGCTCCAAGTTTGGAAGTTTCGAAACACGTGGTGACGTCACTGCATCTCTCAAGTTGGTCGTGTGACGGCCTTTAGCCCGTCTTGACTCGAGAGATGACGTCATACCATCTCTAAGCGTAAGCGATGAATTTCTGAGGCATAATGTTTTATTATTCGAAGCCGCATAACTTTTTTAATATTTATCCAATTGCGCTGAATTTTTTTTTGTGTGCTATATGTGATTAATACTCCATAAAAGTATCAAAAAACGTGGTTAATGGAACCTCACTGAACGAGCCTATTATATTTATCATAATTTGCCATTCGGCTCGTGAAAGTCGCTTATTTTTGATTTTTTGCGATTTTTTACAAATATTTGGCACAACAAGGATTCAAAAATGAAGTTATAATTAATTTGTAAATTTTAGTCTATTTGGACTATGTGACCGAAAAGTTGGAAGAACATGCCGCAGATTGCAGATTAAAAATAAAATAAAGTATTTCCACATCCATTTCCACAACTTTCTTATTTCTCAAATGCACCGCTTTTCTCTATCTCTTCAGTGACAACAGCCCAGCAGCCTACTTGAAAAATTAAAGATGATTTTAATTTAAATTAAAAGCTTTTAAAATCAGGTAAAAAGCTGTATAAGGTATAACACATTTGTAGATCATGTATTGGTATTGGACAATCCAAAAATGTAAAAATATACAGGGGTGTCTAATTTGAAATAATATAGATTTCTACAATTTTGTAAATCACAAAAAAAACATACCATATACAAGCAGGAGTAATATTTTACACAGGTTGCAACAGGCCAAGTGTTTTCTGAACGGCTAGTTGAAACATTAAACCTGTCCTAAACATACATAATATCATGACATACTTTATCAATTCCATTCTATCTACCTATATAACTTCAATAGGTTTCAATATAAGTTTGAACTCAAAACTCAACATTTCAGTGCAAATATAGGGTTGCTAAACTCTCGGCTAAACTTTTATATTAAGTAAGTAGGTAGGTACTGACGTACTGACTCATTATGACTTAAATTAAATATACTTTTGAGGTGTCAGAATAAAATATTTGGTACCCAGTCAATTAACATCCGTACTTAATACAACATGTACAGATTTTTACAATTTACTGAATGAATAGGTACCTAATTACCTAAATGTTTATTTCTTCCTCATCCTCTTAATCTTCTAAGTACCTATATTTTATTAAAGAATGTTGAATTAATTCAATTCCTCTCTACACTACAAATAAAAGAATTTTAAAACTTTCACTTCCAACGAAGCGACAAAAAGAAAATGTAGGGCAATAGGGCAAATTTACAGCAATACAGTCATATGCACGTCAGTTTTGGCATGCCCGAAATATTTTTAATTTCCCGGACAGAAGAAAATCAATAAACTCTGTAGATGACTTCTGTATTGTTTCGTCCTAATAAATTTAATGAATAATTTTTCGTCGACCCAACAAACAATGTTCGCGCGAGTGACTTTTTATCCGACGTTGTTTTACAATGTGATGATGGAAAAACTGACCCCCAGACAATGGTACAATAGGATAGACGATACGGTGATTTTGGGGGCGCTGCCTTTTCCTACTATAGGTAAAGAAGTAAGTAATTTCACCTGAATTATTGTGGGAATTTGTTTATTTTAACTTGTTTTGGATTTTAAAAAAATACATTTTTTTTTGAGGTTAAGTTTACTCGAGAGAGGTCAATGTCGAAAGAAATAATTTATCAGCCAAGCCTTTTTTTGGTATTTTATTGTAATTTATTAATTGATTGGAGGTGATTTTTACATTATTTTCAACTCGATTTTCAATTTAAAAAAAATTAAAACCTTAATATTCAAGCAAGGACTCTTTTCTACTAGAGAAGAAATTGATACAAATGTGGCAACCTAGAATGTAGACCATTTCAAATCAATCAAGCCAACTCAATTAAACCAATTTTCAATGAAATTTATATGTATATTTTAGGTGATACCACTATGCTATATCCGAAACGGTGAGAGCTACAATAGGTCGGTTAAATTAGAAACAAATTGCCTTTTTTGATGTCCGTTCAAGACTTGTTTGCCGTGTTGCCAAATTCCTTTTAGTTTATGAAATACAGGGTGATTTCTGGTCCGAAAATTCGGATCTCTAGTGCCCATACTAAAGATCCGATCGGGGATCCGATAATTTTCGGATTTTTAATTTGTATATTAAGGGTCCGAAAATGCGGATCTTTAGTTGATATTGAAGATCCGAAAATAGATGTTTATTTCCTCGTTTATTTCTAATTCTGTTGTAAATAAGGAATATTATAACATTTCAATAAAATTGATAAAATGCTTGTATTTTTAAGGATTTATACTAAAAAAAAATGCATCCCTTCTCACTACAACAAGGCAGCTTTGTTACTGAACAGCACACTTTATTTGATGCTAAGGATTTTTTTTTCTGAAAAGTCCTTGTCTGTAAGGACAATTCTTAATTTTGTCCAAGAGCACAGATTATGCTTTTTAAAAAGGCAGTGGATAGAGGTCCGAAAATTCGGATCTCTAGTGTTCATACTAAAGTTCCGATAATTCTCGGATTTTCAATTTGTATATTAGGGGTCCGAAAATGTGAATCTTCAGTGGTATTATTGAAGATCCGAAAATAGATGTTTATTTCTAATTCTGTCGTAATTGAGGAATATTATACCATTTCAATAAAATTGATAAAATTCTTGTATTTTCAAGGATTTATACTAGAAAAAATGGATGCTCTAATCCTTTTTATGTAGAATAACTAATCAAGTTTACTCGAAAATATTTGGTTGGTGCAATTTCAAACAGAAAAGTACAAAAAACAAAACTAAGTAGGTACCTTTTTATTTTTTTAAAACAGTACATAATTAAAAATAAATATTTCTTCATTTTAAGGGTTGATAGGGTAAGAGGTGTGAGGTGTGATTAAGTTCCTTCTGCACTGCATGTAAAACCAGGCTTTCTTACTAGAAGGCAGCTTTGTTACTAAACAACACACTTTATGTTTACACCGAAGACATGAATCACACTGTAAGCAACAGTGGCGGCTCGTGGTGTCCAAATGAGGCGGGGCGACAAAAATAAAAAACAGCCGTAGTCGATTTTTTTTTAGATTTCCAAGCTCGCGGCCTTCTCAAATATTGTATTAAAAGCATTTTTTATTTTCCCATTTTTTCTTCAGGGTGGCGGTGCCCACCTTGCCCATATGGGCGAACCGCCACTGGTAAGCAATCTCCATGTATCACTTTGTTACATATATCACAAATCCAAAAGATATTTCTTTTTCAAGAAGAAGTGGACCAATTTGTTGATGATGAGGAATGTTTTATTTCTCATTTTTAAAGTTTTTATGTAATGCTTTTGCTTACCAAATCATCTGTATTTAAAACTGCATTAAGCATTATTTGGTGCCTCAGTTTACGAACTTCATTTTTGAATAAAACACCTTTATTTTTCTTAGACCTTTTTAGTCCAATTGCAGTGAATTGATGTTCTTTGAGTCTTCCTTTATGGGTTTCAAAGGAAATTTAATACTTTTTATTTTTTCTTCTAATTGGTTTTGTGCAGTAGTATTTGGTTCTTGGGCTAGTTTCATTAAAATGGTGTCGCAAATATCTACAAAGAATAGGTAATATCAAGATAAGTCTGTTTCTGCAGAAAGCACAAATTAGTCAGAGCAAATTTCATTGGTTGAAAACAGTCAGAAACAGTCAGAAAACTAGTATCAACCAATGAAATTCACTCTGACTGGTTTGTGATTTCTGTAGAAGCAGACTTATCTTGAATATTATTCTTTGTAGATACTTGCGACGATACTCCTTAACCCTTCCACCTACAACCCGGGTACATTTTGGACCCACATTCCGAATTTTTGGCATATTTTGTGGATTTGACAGGTTAGCGAAGCGCCACTTATAATAGCTGTTTATTATCGCAGTATACACGTGTATGCAGATTGTAGGTGATGTTGTTTAAATTATTTAATTTTTATTTACAATAATTGAGGTACATTTTGTACCCTGGTTGTAGTAAAGCAGAAAAACAAATTATTCTTGATTACAACTCTACAAAAGGAGGTTTTAATACTTTGGATCAACTTATAACACATATATAACAACATATAATAATGATAATAATAATAAAAAAAATAATAAATAACAAATAATAAATTCTAAGACAGTTCTGTGTGCTATGGAAGAGTTTGGAGCTTACATATCAAAGTTAGTGCCCGAACTTTTGTTTCTCAAAATTATGTTTTTATACAGGGTGTATATTTTAAGTGATACCACTATTGCTATATCCGAAACGGTAAGAGCTACAGGGTGGGTTAAATTAGAAAAAAGTTTTCTTTTTTGATGCACATTTAAGGCTCGTTTATAGTGTTGCCAAATTCCTTTTAGCTTATGAAATACAGGGTGATTTCTAAGAAACGCCCAAAAATATTTCATCAATTATTTCGAAAACTATTGATTTTTGAAACACAATTTAAATTTGAAAGTTTTATTATTTTTTTCACTCTACAACATTGTATCTTCAAATTTCAAATCCGACGTTTCGTCACCGAGCTACCATCATCAACTTTATTTTTTTAAATAGGGACCTGAATTTTTTATATCATTTTTAGGATGCGCCTTTCATTTCCTTTCTAAAAATGATTTAAAAAATCCAGATCCGTATTTAAAAAAATAAAGTTGATGATGGTAGCTCGATGACGAAACGTCGGATTTAAAATTTGAAGATACCATTTTGTAGAGCGAAAAAAATTATAAAACTTTCAAATTTAAATTGTATCTCGAATATCAATAGTTTCCGAAATAATTGATGAAATAATTTTAGGCGTTTTTCATAAATCACCCTGTATTTCATAAACTTAAAGGAATTTGGCAACACTGTAAACAAGTCTTGAATGGACATCAAAAAAAGCAACTTTTTTCTAATTTAACCGACCTTGTAGCTTTTACCATTTCGGATATAGCAATAGTGGTATCACTTAAAATATACACTCTGTATATTGTTTTTTATTGTTAAAGATGTTTCTCAAATGTGTATTTATTATTCATTTGATGATGGCATTACCTATTCCACTAAAACATTCACTTTAATCGTGGGGACAAAATGTACCCAGGTCCCAGGTTATCAAAAAACGTGCAAAAAAAAGCTTGTAGGTCGAAGGTTTAATTAGACAGAATTAGAAATAAACATCTATTTTCGGATCTTCAATATTACCACTAAAGATCCGCATTTTCGGACCCCTAATATACAAATTGAAAATCCGAAAATTATCGGATCTTTAGTATGAACACTAGAGATACGAATTTTCGGACCTCTATCCACTGCCTTTTAAAAATGTTCAGCATATGATCAATCATTGTGGCAGTTTCATTTTTCAAAATAAAACAACAAACTATAGCACCTTCGTTGTTACCATCTATTGCCATCATGATGATATAGGCATTCGAAGATTCTTTAGTTTGTATGTTGCATCTAGCAATAATAGGTCAGGATATGTATGGAAGTTGTTTTTCATTTGGATGGACTGATGGACTGGAAGTAAATACCTTCCAACAGATTATCAGCATTCGCAATAACTTCTACGATTGACTGATGTTCTTCCCTTAACACATTTATAACATCTTGCAAACTATTTTCCCTTGATGAACAAGTTTTAATATTGGATATGTCTCGCAATAAAAGATCTTTACCGGTCTTATCCAATATATAGTTACATTTCAGTTCTTTGATTGTCACCTCTTGTTTTTGATGGTCATTCAACCGTCTTTTGTTTTGATAATCTGTCAAAAATCGTTTTATTCACCTGGTGATTATGTGTGTTCACAATATCTAAAATTAGGAGACTTTGTGCATCTTTAGAGAGTACCAAGCATACCTTCATCGGGCATCCATCTCGAAATGTACTAAAAATTCAAAAATCAAAAGTTAATATGCTCTAATATAGAGAACACAAAATTGAGAATTAAGAAGTTGGATAAACTCGGCATAAGAAATACTTAGATACATTTTGAGAATAATTATGCTAACACTTGCCTATTTTTTCGCTTCCCTGGGCTCCGGGTTTTGCTACAATCGATTCGTTTGATATCAAACTTATGTAGTTTAGTTGAATAAAGCTATTTTTGAAATAAAATTAATATTTTCGATTTTCTATTTAATAGTATGGGTAAAATAGGTACCTAGTTTTATTTGGTTTGGTTCAAAATTCAATAAAAAAAATTCGTGTATGTGTCATAGTGCTTTTTTTTTTTCTGGTGAAATATTTCATTGTGCTGGCCACCCAGGGTCGGCGCAACCATTAGGCGAACTAGGCGGTCGCCTAGGGCGGCGAACTTAAAGGGGCGGCAAAAAGGCAACAAAAAAAAAACTCGAATTCTGCTTTTCTTCACAATATTCGAGATTCCATTTCTCTTGCAAACCCAAACAAAAACTTTGTCCTTATGAGCACATAAAGTCCGTCGATTTTAATCTGATACTCGAAAGGAATGTGAGCTGGTGGCACTCTACATTAGAAAGCCAATGGTCACCTGACGTCGAACCTGTTTTTGCCATATACTTCACCACCTTGCTCCTCATACGGAAAGTGTCAGATTAAAAACGACGGACAATACATACCTGCTTCTGCTAGTCGCTAGGAGTCATGCGATCGGGTGGCGAGCGGCCAAAAACGACTTTTTTATATTATGAATATTTTTGGAACAAAATTAACGTTTTGGGCGTGGCACCAGAACAGGATTATTTCGCCTCTGCCGGCGCCTGCGGCGGGCATGTGTATATACATTTTTATCTTTTTTGATATTCTATAATCTATATTCTGTAAGTCAGGGCTGCGTTCAGGAATGGCTACAGCCAAGCCAAAATTGGCATTTTGCATTCGAGTTTGGCTTCGACCTACGTGGTTCGGCATTACCGGTGGAGGGGGAAAAGTAAGTTTTGGCATAAGCATTGCCGTTTTTGAACACACCTCAGGTATACCAATATTATGTGCAATCATTAATAAATCTATAAAACGTGTTTTTAAAAATATCCATGCATATTTGTATTTCTACTTGATGGGGGCGGCAGAGAGTACATTTGCCCAGTGCGCCAAAGTCGCTTGCGCCGACCCTATTTTGAAGGATATGAAGGGTTTTAGCTAATAAGTTGAAGGAATGTCGTCGAAAAACTCTGACAACACTGGTAGGAAACCGGCCGTTCCTATGACATTTTGCCAGTGTAAAACACTCTAGTGAAACAGTCATCGAAATTATCGATTTCAAATTTAACTCAAGCTATTACTTTCTTCCAAACCAATTTTCGACATGTTTAATATTTCTCTTATTCTTTTTTAGCTAATCGAAAAAGAAAATATAAAAGCGGTGGTGTCCATGAACGAGGATTATGAACTATTTTTGGCAAACGATGCGAAGGTAATATATTTTTTCTATTATTAGACTAGTCCCTTAAAGGGGGTGTGACCCAAAAATGAAAGTATTAGTGCAAAAAAATCTAAGAATAATTATTTATGATATAAGTGTTAAAAGTACATTTTTAAGGCACGCATGTGAAAGTTTGCAGAATGAGCGAAGCGAATTCTGCAATTCACATAAGTGCCTTAAAAATACTTTTAACACAAATATCATACAATATTTTTTCTACAAATCGTAATAAAAAGCAATAACCAGTAACAAATTGGATTTTTAAATGAATAATAAATTAGAAGCATCTTTCCTACATAAAATTCTCGAATTTGACATTTGTCAAAAAATCCATACAACCAGCACCTTGTTTTACAGGTAACAAAATGTCTTTTCAGTTTCTTGAAAGTCTGTCGTGGTCAGGAATGCTTTTTGCTAAAAATGCAACAAAATACAGAAGAAAAAGAGGGTTGCATCGATCCTTCGAAAAATATAGATGAGGCGGCCAATCGGGCTACCTCAGTTGTTCAAATTTCACCATTAATATCAATGTAAATAACTGAAAATACAAACTTTTTTTGATGTCCGCTCTCAAAATTTGATGTTTCACTTTTAACACTAGTGTTATAAAGACTTTATGGCACTAGTGCGATAAAGTAACATTTTTAATGCTTCGGGGCGGTGTTAAAAATTGCATTTTTAACACGTTTGTAGAAAATAAATATTTAAACCTCATCTTGCTACGATGGTCCGTTTTCGAGTTAGGGCGGTTTAAAGTTACAACTAGGTGTTTGTGACGTCACACTGGATTATCAGGGACAGTATAAACATGTGTAAGAATTTTCTGAAACAAAAGACAATTATCTCTTAGAGCGAATTGCAACCACTCAAAGTATAGGGTACGGTTGACGACTGAACGAACAGAAGACAGCGATTTCGGCGATTGTGACATCACAAGTTCCTGCATAATTTATCTTCACAAGGAATTTTCTCAGAGACTATTTTGAATATAGGACTGCGGTTTTCACGAGAGATCTTAGAATTTTTTTCTTGATTTAAGTAGCTTCAGTCGTTTTTTAGGGTCACGCCCCGTTTAAATTCGGTTTAGTTTGCCCTTGAGTTTGCCTCTGGAAGTTTGAAAAAAACTTGAAAAGGCTTTTCTTTCTTTTTGGTCTTTGAGAGAGAATAGAAGCTGTGAAAAGGATCCCTTTATAGCCCTTAGAAAGCTGAAATTCAAAAGAAAAGTATCAAAAATATTAAATATTATGAAAAATTAGACGCAGAATTTGAAAAACAAATTATAGGTGTGGTGTTTTCTACTTTTGAAAATCAGCTTTCAAAAACTTGGATGGTTGAAATAAAACAATGATTATTGCCGATGTATTTTATCTAATGCTCACTGATTGATAGAACAAAGTGGTACTCTCACAACTGCAGACTTTCTCTATTTTTCTCGAAAGGACCATGACAATAAGCTGATAAGAATGAATATTTTTCCAATCGTCTGTGTGAAAAATCGAGAAAAGGATTTTTTTTATACCTAATGAAAGTAAAAATGGGATTAGGTATACAGGCTGTCTGGAATATTTAAAGTACCTACCTACATCGAGAAGTACATACATAGAGATTTTGGAAACCCTTGAAGATACAGGGTGGACTAAACGGGGAAAAAGTTGGGCAATCAAGTGCCTACATATTATAATCTATCATCAATATCGCACCAATTAACGTGATTAACACATTGTTTCTTATGACAAAATCCAGAATATCTTTTTTTTTTCTCAAAAACTCTTAGAGATATGTATAAATCTATTGAACTTTTATATCATTGAAATCAGCAAAAGCAGAGCTTCCCAATGAGCTACTAGATATTTTCATTCTTTGAGAATCAATAACTTCATGGCAGATGTAGCAGAAATTCTCCAGAATGAAAAAATACTATGTGACAGATTCTGAAGAATGAGACAACTCAACAAACATCTTTGAGAATGGAGAAACCACACAACCAGATTCTTCAGAAAAATTAGAAACACCAATTAACACAGATCATGGAGTATAACAACTTGACTTGCACAACAGATCCAATAGAGATTTTTATTCTGTGAGAATCAAGAACTTCATGACAGATACAGCAGAGATTCTCTAGAATGGAAAACTACATGACATATTTTCAAGAATAAGAAACAACTTATCAACTCGACAAACATCTTTGATAATGGTGAGACCACACACAAAAGATTCAACAATAATTTTTGGAAATGAGAAACACCAACCAAGAGAGATCTTTGGAAATAAGAACTTGCATAACATCCAATAGAGAAGTTTAATTTTTGAGAATCAAGAATTTCGTGAAAAACTACATGACAGATTCTGAAGAAAGAGAAACAACTTATCAACTCGACAAATATCTTTAAAAATGGAGAAACCACATTACAGTGGAAATTAGAAACACCAACCAACAGAGATCTTTGGGAATACTTGCATGACAGATCCAATAAATAAGATTTTTATTCTTTGAGAATGAGAAACTCCATGACAGATGTAGCAGAGATTCTCCATAATGAAAAACTACATGACAGATTTTCAAGAATGAGAAACAACTTATCAACTGGACAAACATCTTTGAGAATGGAGAAATCACATAACAGAGATTCTTCAGAAATTTTTGAAAATTAGGAACACCAATCAACGCAGATCAAAGAGTATAAAAACTTGACTTGCACAACAGATCCAATGGAGATTTTTATTCTTTGAGAATGAGAAACTTCATGACAGATACAGCAGAGATTCTTCAGAATGAAAAACCACATAACAGATTTCCGAGAATGAGAAACAACTTATCAACTCAACAAACATCTCTAGAGACCACATAACAGTTTCTTCTTGGAAATTAGAAACAGTAATCATAGAGTATAAGAACTTGACTTGCACAACAAATCCAATAGAGATTTTTATTCTTTGAGAATCAAGAACTTCATGACAGATGCAGCAGAGATTTTCCAGAATGAAAAACTACATGACATATTTTCAAGAATGAGAAACAACTTATTAACTCGATAATAGAGAAGCCAGACACAACAGATTAGTTTGAGCCTAATTACGTTAAGATCGGATTGAAATTAACAGAGTTGTGAGGCAAAATGTGTGTGGATGTCATTTTGAAAATAATAAAGTTTCCAAAAAACGCCATAGAGGAACGTTTTATTTTTTTCTGAGGCAAATATTTTAGGGATTGGATTGAAATTTTATAAGTGGGTAGAGAATGGACTGAAGTTTGAGAAAAAAAAAGAAAAATTTCCCTCTACACACTCCCCTTGATATAAATCAAAGTTTAAAGACTTTGATGCCTCCCAGTTGGAAAATTTTTGAGATATTTTGAAACTATTTTCTAGAGATTTGTAGAGAATCTAATTGGCTTCAATTTGAGCCTAATAACGATAAGATTATGGATTGAAACTAACAAAGTTGTGAGGCAAAATGTGTGTAGATGTCATTTTGGAAAAATCAAGTTTCCAAAAAACGACATCGAGGGACGTTTTTTTTTTTTTTTTTCAGGAATTGGATTGAAATTTTGCACGTGGGTGATAGTGGGAGATAGAATGAAATTTGAGAAGAAAAAAAATTAAAATTTTGCTCAACACACTCACCTTGATAAAAATCAAACTAAGACTCTGATGCTTCCCAGTTGGGAAACTTTTGAAGCTGTACTGAAACTATTCGTTGAGAGTTTTGCAGATAATTTAATTTAATTTGAGCCTAATTATGTTGGGATCGGATTGAAATTAACAGGGTTGAGGCAAAATGTGTATGGATGTTATTTTGGAAAAAATCAAGTTTTCAAAAAACGACATTTAGGCATGTTTTATTTTTTTTTGAGAATTATATTTTAGGAATTAGATTGAAATTTTGCATGTGAGTAAAAAATAGATTAAAATTTGAGAAAAAAAAAATTCGCTCTGCACACTCATCTTAATAATAATCAAAGTACCTATAAAGCATCACAGTTAAGAAACTTTTCAAGCTGTACTTAAAAATGGAAAGAAACTGAGATTCTTTAGAAGTCTGTGTTTAGGGCAGATCCAAGAGATATTTTTTTTTGAGAATGAGGAACTTCATGACAGGTTCTCAAGAATGAGAACTGTGAAGCAACTTACCAACCCAACAAACATCTTTTGAATTCAACAAATTCACCATAAATTCTTCGAAATGAGAAAAAAACAAGCAGATTTAACAGAGATTTTTGAGAATGAGAAATTGCTTTACAGAAAAGAAATTAAAAAATGTCTTCGGCACTCACTTTGATAAAAATCAAAGTCAAAAAACTTCGAAGCTTCGCAGCTGCAAAACTATTGAAGTTGCGCTAAAACAATTAATAAGAGATTTATAGAGGATTTAATTATCCCTAATTTGCGACTAAGTGCGTGCAGATCAGATCAAAAAATCAAAATGAACAAAGTTGTAAGGCAAAAGGTCTTTCAATGTGAGATAAAAATAATAAGACAGCAGTTATTTGGGAAGGAAAAAAAATGCGTTCAAGGGAACTGCACTAGTACATTTTTGTAATAAGAGAAAACGCAGAAGAATTCCAGCTTTTTGAGAAAAACTTATTTGGACAGCACAAATACAGTTGAGCAGGTAATAGAATCAAACAGATGTGATTGAAGTTTATAGACCTGATAAGGATTAACTATCACAAATCGGTTATGTTATTCTAAAGAAGTTTTGTTGAATGTTGAATATTCCAAAAAATATTTAGACAAAGTTATCTTTCCAATTCCTTTAAAGTTTATATTAAAATTAAATTACAAAAACCATTTATTAAGAAATTGCAGCATCAGCATCCTCAAAGTACAGACTTTACTGTAATGGCCATTAGAAGATTTTTATATGAATGGGATATCCTCACAAGTCACAAGAAAAACTTAGATTTACTTTTCAAGAAATTTAGCAAAACCATGATATCAAATTTAAGTGATATGGGCACTGAAAGTGCGTAAAAACATTTTTTCTGCGATTGACAAGAAATGTCAGCATTTTTGACCGGTTGACAGGACGCAAAACTCAATATTCTGGTATTTCAATTATGTTTCAATAGTTGCTATAAGGAATCAATGAATAACAATACGGGAAACACTTTTCCGGCCGATCGCAGAAAAAATAGTATGTGTATTTCGGTGGAAAAGCACATTCTCGGCCTTCGGTGTTTGCCGGCCTGTGTCACTTTTCCACCTAAATACACAATATACTATTGTTAGATCAAGATCAGTACCTACAATTTCAAAAAAAAAAAAAATCTTATTTTTATACTTTGTTGAAGTTGCAAATTTTATTAATTCTTATTCCTTTTACTTTTATTTTTGTGAGACTTATAAAATTCTCTTTTACTTTTATTATTGTGAATTAGTCAATCAATATTTCAGTCATGGAAAGAATTAGGAGTAGCTTTTCTCCAACTAGCCACAACAGATATTTTCGCCACACCATGTCAAAGTAAACTAATCGAAGGCGTCACGTTTATAAACAAATTTGTGGAGCCTGAAAAAGTAATTAATGGAACTTCCACTTCTTCGGTTTACATTCATTGCAAAGCCGGAAGAACGAGAAGTGCTACATTGGTGGGATGTTATTTGATGCAGGTAATTAAAATTTAAAAAAAAATAAATTATGTTTAATCAATGAACATTTTTGTAGAGGTATAATTGGACTCCAGAACAAGCAGTGAACCATATGAAAGAAAAGAGGCCTCACATATTGATGCACAGAAAACAATGGGAGGCACTAGAAATATTTAAAGAAGAATATTTGAATAAACCTTCCAAATAATAAATTGAATAGCTGTACTAAAATACAGGCATTATATCTCAGCAGAGGGTACCTCTAGGGATATAGAAAGACAAACCAAAATTCCATTTTACGAGTCTATTTAAGTCATTTTTATAAAATATCACGTTTTAATTCTACCAGTAAATCCTGAGTACCCTAGATAAACAAGGAACCAGTTAATATTGTTGCTCAAAAAAAATTACTACTTTATGGACTAGTAAGGGTAAAAACAAATTTAACTTGACAATAACTTAAAATATAGTATATTTGTTTTTATAATAAATTGTTTGATTCCTACAATAAACTTTCATCCAACATATATTTCCCTAACGAAGCATCTCTAAAAGCTTTCAACAAAATTTGTGCTCCAGCATCCAAATGAGGCTTCACTACATATTCATTCAAAGGAGTCCTTATCCGCAATATCTTTTTATGAATTTTGCAAATGTGAGCAAGTAGTTGTAAAATATCATCGCAAGGTTTATCCATTTGGAAATATTTAACATACTCGAAATGATTATGAGTGTTGAGCCAAAACAGAAGATAATCAGCGATAATTGTTTCCCCTACAAAGTGGTCTTGAATTGTTGCACATAAAGCAAGTTTTAATCCAACTTCTACGTCAGTTATATTTGGAGTCAGAATCCCAGGAGTGTCTAGCATATAAAATAAAGGATTATCGCACATTTTAATTTTGTGTAAAACGCTTCTGGTCATGCCAGGTTTAGCTCCTACACTGGAGGCTTTACCTTTACGCAAATGTCTCGCTCTAAGAGCATTTATCAGTGACGATTTGCCTACATTTGGTACCCCAATTATCATGAGATTAAAATCTTCTTCGTCTTGCCTGTTGTACCTATTCGAGTCGTTAATCAAATCTTGTGTTAAGGGAAACAATTTTTTGACTCCCCCACACTGATGATCTTTACAATTTGTAAATATCACATGCTTATAGTCAGATTTCAATTTGTCCATAATAGGTGTTTGCAGTTTCTTCGGTATAAGATCGGCTTTGTTTAGTACTAAAATATGGGGCTTGACGCCGCTTACGGTGTATTTGAAATCCGTGTTTCTACCGGAAATCGGAATTCTGGCGTCGTGGACTTCAATAATACAATCGACCGAACGTAGTTTCAGTTGCATTTGCTTGAGCCCCTTTCCCATGTGTCCTGGGAACCATCGGACCACGTCTTTGTCTATCGTTTTGAAGACACTTCGGAAATTGTCTTTGGCTATTTTTTGAGCCATTTTTAATTTGTTGATAAATTTTTAATGTTTATTTTGAATTTTCTTTACTCTAACCTATAAATATAAAAATATGACAGAGGCGATTTCGGCAAGCTTTGGTACATGGTTTGGTACCCTGTTTGGTCTGTCAAATGCATACCAACCAATTTCGGATACGAAAATGATGTCGTCACCGTGACTTTGGTATACTTTTTGGTCTGTCAAATAGGATACCGTGGTCAACAGCACGGTTCTTCTCATTTGGTATAGTGCTATCTACGTCTATTTTCGTTTTGTCCTGCTCTGGGAAATGTAAATAAATGAAAGTTCATTATAATTTGAATAATTTGAAATTTTTAGCAAATATATTTGTTTTTCGCCTTCATTTTCCATGTTTTGACTGCCAAATAATGTTTAACGATCATTTAAAAAATGGCTTTGAACGACAGATATGGGGTAACTTTTTTGCTGAATGGATTATGGAATAAGCTTTACATTTACAGAAAATGCTGAGTTAGCCAATAGGTTACTACTCAAAGGTACTGTCTAGACAGTGCGTGCTGATTAGTGATTATAGATTTTACTGATTTTAGTCGGTGCAGTCAGTACCTAGTCACTCCCAAAACTAGAAGAACAACAAAGAGTTAGGTTAAGGCTCGTCTCTTCCCCTCTCTCATGACCTACCAAACGAATTCGGAATAAAATGGTGTCTTACGTCATTTCTATGACGTTGCAGGTACCAATTGGTTAACCAAATGGTATACCAACCAAAGCTTGCCGAAATCGCCTAAGGTCAAAAGTGGAGTAATCCTATTCCTCTGGTGCGCTTAGAAATGGAGTGTGAAGGTAGAGTAGTTGTTTGTCAGAGTGTTCTGTCCTGACGTCATCACTTGGAGTGCACTCTGGGTGCGCTATTTTTGAACGTATTAAGGCGTTGTGGTGAATGTCAACATCAAACCCAGTAAAAACCGCGGGGCGTTTTTCAACCCAGTCCCTGAGTGGGGCAATTTCGACGCACTCTGGGCACGTCAACTCTCGATTTGAACGATACCAGAATCCAGCGTAACACTCCGAGTAAGCACCTGTTAATATTTGAACGGTTAAGAGTTACTCTAGGGTCACTCTCACACCCAGAGTTCTATTTCTGGATGCAACCTAGTAGTTATTCTAAAAAGCGTCAACATCGCTGTGTATTTCGATTGAGTTCGGCTTTGCAATCCAGGGACTTTATTCTCGAAACAGGGGAGCAGCGTTCTCATGAGAACGAAGGTTCTGTCTTCGTCGTCCGTATTCATATTTCCATAACATAAAACTGACAATGAAAACGCTGTTCCTCGTTTTCGAAAATAAAATCCCTGAACTGATCGAACCGTGTTCCTTCGATTTCAAATCACTTTTCCCTACCATACCCACCAAATGATCGCAATCAGTTAATTTCTAGAGTGAATTTTATGGCGATTTCCATTTGTCAATCAGTGCGCACTGAGTGTATCCGCGTCTTTTTCTAAAAGCATATAAAATATAAGGATAGGGATATATTTTTTTTTTGCACTTATTCTACAAATGGAAATCGCTGATAATCACCGCATTCGTGGCGGTGCACTATTTTGGTGAAATTAGCAATACGCAGTAAATATTTGGTTTGAGTTAGGGGTTATGCACTCAGGTGCAGGCTTATCGAGAGGAATAAGCACGTGACACCCCGGAGCTCAGAGCCGTTTTCAGGTGCAGAGTGCGAATCTCCTAGAACACTTCACACCTGTCATTCTCAATAACCCGTTTCACGTGGCTCCGGTTTAACAAACCGCAACATACCGCTCAAATTCGAGTGGTAGGTATTCATGACGTCACTTTGTAACCGGGTTAGAAAACGGTAAGTCATTTCTCTAACCCTTTTGTAACCCATTTAATTAAACCGGAGCCACGTGAAAAGAACTCATGCGTTTTGCACTCGAACGCTTGAAACCGAACGGGTCAAACTGTAGCCGGAGTACTTCGGAGTAACTCGGAAGCGCTCAATGGGTGGCACCCGAAAGCAGCTCTGTTCCGCAGCTCCTTCTAAGGTAAGCGCACATTAGTCGGAGCCAAACGAGTCGCACCGGGAGCAGGAGCCGTAGCAAAATATTGTTAACAATTGATTTCAATGAGGTATCGCAAACCATTCGGAGCCGCACGAGTCGTACTACCGCAAATGCGACCATGTTTGGCAGGGAATCTTTTTTCGGTTCGTGCTGATGACGTATGTGCCGCATCCATTTAGTGAGCGCGCCCAGCAGCAAAATCTTTGAATAAATGCTATCACTCATTGTGAAAAATGCCAAAAAATATTTCGAAAATATAAACGAATGGCTAAACTCAAATGATGGCGTGCTTCCGCTACGGCAGGAAAAATTCCACTATAGTCTATAGTGTGCGCACTACAAAAAAAACGATGCGTTCGAGCGGTGCGTGCGGCTGGTTCGGCTCCGGCTAGTGTGCGCTTACCTTAAGGTGTGAAAGGAGTTGTATTCCTTTCAAGAGTTTGAAACACTAGAGCTACTCGCTCCGGTGTTAGTCGACCCCGATTTAAAAGGAACAGATGCGCTGGCTTTCGTGCATTCAAATGGTTTAATTCGGACTTGGGCGCTTCAGGTGCAACAAACACTTTTCGAAAGGAATGAGTGCGTAAAGCTCCGGAGCTGTTCCGGAGCTCGTCCTAGGTGTGAAAGGAATACAACTAAAGGTGAGTTCGGAATGGTGGAAAGTGTCGACACTTTTCACACTATAGCCGCTTTTCAGCTGTGTGCTTCAAGCACGGTGCAGCACAGTGTTCTAAGTTTGAAACGCAGAAGTTAGCAGCTCTCGAAGCGCAGTACGGCTGGATCACGAACACGCGCTTGGAGGATTTGCTCGCGCAAAAGTTCGATTGCGTGCTCTCAGCTTAAGGCGCCAACATCGCTCCCATGCACACGATACAAAATACAGAAATCGGATTAGACTACAAAAAAAACCGCACATCAGAATTTGCTGAAATTTGGCATAAACATTCCTTCATCGATTATCTAGAGAATAGTGCAGTTAGATTTTCCATATTTCTAATTTTTTTTTGGCCTATATTGTGAAAATGAACTATTTCCCAAAAATAGAAAAATCCACGGTAAAAATTGAAAAAAATAAGAGCACTATTCTCTAGATAATCGATCAAAGAATGTTTATGCCACATTTCAGCCAATTCTGATGTGCCGTTTTTTTTTGTAGTCTAAAACCGATTTTGGAATAAAATTACAGATATTTTGGCAAATATAGTTCAGGCTTTTTTTCGAAGATGGCGCCACCAGTCAAATCGTGATGTCATAATTAGGCGTTTTCGAAAAACCCGAACCGTTGGAGCAGCAGCTGATGTAGGTTGTTCAGCGTTTCCAAAAAAACCTATTGACAACAGAACCTCTTTCTCACCTTGTGTATTTGTTTTGTTTCTTATTATTGGTTTATAAAATAATAGGCACAAAGCATGCTGTGCCATTAGTTTCCATTGAGAATAAATAAAGTATCTATTTTACGTACCTAGGTATACATAAAAAAATTGGATCGTGTTTTGTAGGACAAAATGTCTTTGAAAAAATAAAAAGCTTCAATAATAATTATTAAAATTTATTTACAAAAGGTGGAAAGTGCTAAAATTAGAGTTTTTCCTTTGTGTTCTTGTATATTAGTGCAATAATAATATCCACCAATGCAGTAGAGCATTCAATTTCGGTATCTGGCGATTTGCATTTCTTTTACTAGCTCTTGGATCTTTTACCAATATCTGAAATTGTGTAAGACTCCTGGTAGGAATATTTTTTTATTATTCCTCCGAGTATTCCTCTATTTGTAAGCCCATTCATGTGCCAATTGCTTCCTGAAAATCTCATACCTACCACAACTAAACATACCACAAAAACAAATCACTTTTACAGAGTAGAACAAAATTTGAAGTCATACCAGCCATGGAAATACAAATCCCTCCATAATCCCATTAGCCAATCAGTGCGAACTGAGTGAAAAAAGTTGCACTGATTCTGAAAATTGAAATCGCTATAATATTTAAAATGCTTACAGTCGGTGAGTTCGGCTATTCAGCGCGGAGTTGGAGTGGAGTGAACAGAACTAATGGAGTCACCCTGATACCGTAAAAAGCAATACCCGAACCTTAACCCGAACGGCTGGAGTGCGAATGGAGTCACTCCGAGTGCACGGAGTGAGCAAGCCGAACTCACCTATTGGCTGAATAAACCTTTACATACAGCGGCGACAATAGAGGTCCCGCCCTCATTTTGTTCCCAACCTCTTGTTACTTTTAAATATTAATATATAGGATTTAAATGGACATTTATCATAAAAAATTGAAAACAACGTATTTGATGACTATTATTAGATCCATCAAATACGTTATTTTCCATGTTTTATGATGGATGTTCACCCAATTCTCAAATATTCATATTTGAAATAAACAATAGGTGGGAACAAGATGGCCGCGTTTCCACTGTGGGTAATAGAGTCACTGTAAAAATGCTTTCATCTTGGCGCCATCTATAATTTTTTTTTTAGAACTAAAATATAATTTTAAGAGGGGCCATTGCAGCCTTGAAGAGGGAAGTTGCCTGCAAGAGCCGCTTTCCAGCTGACCATTTTGAGGACGCAATCGAGGTTTCGCGCACACAAATGCTTCAAGCCACAGAAGCGCATGTTCGTGTTCCAGCCGTACTGCGCTTCGAGAGCTGCTAACTTTTGCGTTTCAAACAGAGAACACTGTTCTGCACCGTGCTTGAAGCACACAGCTGGAAAGCGGCTAAGGACATACTACCAGAGACCCGCGGGCTGGGATCACAAGTAGAATTCCAGTAGAATTCTACTTTCATGACGTCAGGTTGCCCAGCAACAGGGATCATCGCAGTAGGGTACGTGATAAATAGGTCGCTGGTGACGTCATGAAAATAGAATTTCACTTGTCCCGATTCCAGCCTCTCGGAGCGAAATGAAATATCGGTTTCGTTCCGGTCTACAGCGTCATGAAAAATATCGGTTCTATTATAGTTCTCGTTCTGGAAATATTTCGATTCGGTTCGGACCAATAATTTCGGTTTTAACGGTTCATACCTGTATAGTTTTTCCTCGAGTTATTCACAAATATCTAACAGAAAAATGTATGCTTCTGTAATTTGCGGTTTAATTTTTATTGGAATTCTCTAGCCTAGTACTCATAACTGCGGAATTCGGATTTTTTTGACATTGCTTCGACAATTTGACGTTTGATACACGCATAAAACGTCAAATTTTCAACGCAATGTCAAAAAAATGCGAATTTCGCAGTTATGAGTACTAGGCTTCTGCCTGACGCACGGGAAAACTCGGAAAAAGTTGAAAATACAAACTGTAAGTGGTGTTTTATCTTCATTTGAATAGAATTTTAATAGTTATTTACCTAACAAGTGCGGAAAGTGGTACTTTTCCGCAAGAGTTAGGTACAATATTTTTCCTATGAGTGCTTTTGTCCATCTAAAGCCTAGTACTCATAACTGCGAAATTCGCAGTTATGAGTACTAGACTTTATTCATCAAAAAAAATGTTTCCAATACGCAAAGATTTTATAATGATGGTACAAAATAGCACATAATATAAAATAATATATAACATAAATCATTTATTTGATCCTAAATATCTTCATTTTTAGCAATAAAAAAATAATGGAACCGGATTTTTTTATCATGATCCTTGGCCTATATCTAAATTGGCCAAAAAAATTGTTAGGATTCCCTACCTTCGCGGGGCTATGCCACCTAAAATAGGGGGCCCTGCGGGGCTGTGCCCCCAAATAAGGGGCTTCGCCCCCCAAAAAAAGGCCCCAGGGCTCCGCCTCCCAAAAAGGGGCCATTGCGACACCGTGCCCCTCAAAAATGGGGCCCCCGCGGGACTGTGCCCCCCAAATAGGGGCCACCGCGGGGCTCCGCCTCCCAAATAGGGGGCCCCGGAACTTTAATATGGGTACACTTTTAGTAAAAGTAAAAATCGTGCAGAAAAGTAAAGAAATAGTTCGGAAAAGTAAAATCGTGCGGAAAAGTAAAATCGTGCGGAAAAGTACAACTTTCAAAACGAAAAATCGTGCGGAAAAGTTGCTCGTAGGAAAATATAATTAGTTTTTCTGCGATTGACATGAAATGTCATCATTTTTGACCGGTTGACAGGTCGCAAAACTCAATATTCTGGTATTTTAATTATGTATCAATAGTTGCTAAGGAATCAATGAATAACAATACGGGAAACACTTTTCCGGCCTAGGCCGGAAAAGTGATTCTCGTACTGCTGAATAATTGGAACCAAAAGACAAACATTTAACAGGTATTTAACCGATCGCAGAAAAAAAGTATGTGTATTTCGGTGGAATAGCACATTCTCAGCCTTCGGTGTTTGCCGTGTTTGTCAACTTACACCGTCGGCCGAAAATGTGTCACTTTTCCACCTAAATACACAATATACTCTCTTATTGATTGATCTTATTGATTTGTCAGATCACTGTAGTGTAGCCTAGCCGCCAAGTTCAGGCGAGCAAAAAGATGACAGGACCGTTTTCAGCTCGCGGTGGATTAACCAAACTCGCCTTATGATAGGACTAGCCGGTAAGAACCGATAAATTTATATCGGTACCGGGTTTTTCTGCCTTACAAAATTTCTATGAAATATGAGTTTCGTTTCGGTCTGCAAAAAAAAATGGTTCCGTTCCGGTTTTCGATTCAATATCGTTCCGGTCCGTGTCCCTGCACACTACTACTACTAACTACTACTACTACTACTACGATAGCTTATCCTCCTAGGAGGCCTGGTAGATCAAATATCAAGCCCCCACCATAGAGAAACAACGCTTTTTTATCTCCCTCTTCGCCTATTATGTTAGTTAAGCGCATATAGTTTATGCAAGAAAACAGTTTTTTAATAAACAATTGTGAATATTTAAACGACGACCATGGACGTCGTGTCATATCACATATGTTTCTCAGGACGTTATGTGACATAACGTTTATAGACGTCACAGACAATTTCGGAAACGCGCGCCAAATATTTTCTGTACATAACCTTAATACTTATTCTAGAATAAACCTCAACAAATATACAAAATAATACACCTTTTGAGGTTTTTTTGAATCTCCAGTACCTACACAAGAAATTGTTATACAAAAACTATTTACTTTTTATGCGCGAATTTTCGTATACACCTTATTCAATTCACCAGAGGCGTATTCTCGCGTCTCAAATGTTTCAAAACATTTTTCAAAACTGGTTTAAGTAATGTCACCATGACGTCATAGTCATGATTTCTCGGCGCGAGAAAATGGTTTGAAAACTTGGATTGGATTGTATTTCGAAACGGTTTGAACCAATTTTGACGTGACGTCATGGGTTTATCGCGAGAATGTACTGTTTCAAAACAGTTTTGAACCAGTTTCCAAAAAGTGGACGCGAGAAAACGCCTCAAATTGTTGAACACGTTGTGACACAACAAAAATACATAAGAAGCTGGGTTCGGCTTGCACACTCCGAGTGACTCCGTTCGCACTCCGGACGTTGTCTGATTCGTTAAAAGGCAATACCCGAACGGCTGGAGTGCGAACGGAGTCACTCGGAGTGCACGGAGTATGCGAGCCGAACCCAGCTAAAGTCGTTTTTTTTTTTAAAGATAAAAGTCAAAATGACATTATGTTGGGAATACAATGTGAAATTGTCAATGCTTTCAAATTTTTTATGTCGAAAATAAGGTTTCTATTGCCAATATAGTTGCTAAATTTTTGACTTGGGGAATTATCTTTAAAAAAAAAACAGACTTTACAACAATTTCTGACTTATGGCAGCCGGACGTCTACTGACGTTGTGTCGACCAGACATGCATTAATCTTGAGTTGCCCGATAAGATAACTTTCATGACGTCATTTGTATTCTTAAACATAATGCAAATCTTCATATTTAGGAATCGCCTGATGAGGTCCTATGTTTGCCATTAGTTGTATTCCTTTCAAGAGTTTGGAACACTCGAGCTACTCGCTGCGGTGTTTTATTCGACCCCGATTTGCAAGGAAAAGATGCGTGGTGTAACAAACACTTTTCGAAAGGAATAAGCGCGTAACGCCCCGGAGCTGTTCCGGAGCTCCTCCTAGGTGTGAAACGATTACAACTATTACCTGAAAACCTATTACAAGCAATATCTGTAGTATTCATGAAACTTAAATTACATGCCATAATTCAGCGTTGCTTCGGTGATTGAGTACAAAGATTTGCAGGGTGTTTGTTTACCCAAGCAAACGATCCGATGTGGACGTCGCCAAAAATCTAAAGACAATAAATATGACATTGCAATAAACTTTCGAATTGCACTGGTGCAGCACGGGCAAAGCAAAAAGCAAATGTGGTATTTATTGATTGCTCTTGGGGCGGAAAGTGCGCTTTAGTTTCCCAATGGAGTTTAAAAACTTGCTCTGAAACGACCAATGGTTGACAAATAATTCACTCGTTCAGTACCAGTAAGGGCAGTTTGGCCAAATTAAGGATTTTTATGAAAAATAAAGATTTTATATCCTACTGAACTATTAAAACCATATAATACCTTGGTTACGATAATCATAAACAGGGTCTTAACTCCCAAGGGAGTTAAGGATTTTCATAACTCCCAAGGGAGTTAAGGAAGGGAGTTAAGGATATCATAACTCCCAAGGGAGTTAAGGATTTCCATAACTCCCGCTTTTACCTTGAATAGGTAACACTTTGACAAAAAATAGAAATTTTGATTTATGGCTTATTCCTTTATAAAAATAGACAGAATACAGTAAATTCAGTAGGATATAAAATTATCTATGTACCACGGGAATTATCAGGAGTTAATACCCACGGGCAATTGGTGTCCCTCGGGCCGGAGGCCCTCGTGACACAAACGTTGCCCTAGGGTATTAACACCTGCATAATTCCCTTGATACATAAATAACTATTATAGGAACAGCCAAAAATGTCAAAACAATAAACTTTCGAATAGGCTCGTTCAGTGAAGTTTCATTAACCACGTTTTTCCATATTTTTATGGAGTATTACTCACACATAGCACACAAAAAAAAATTCAGCTCAATTGGATAAATATTAAAAAAGTTATGCGGCTTTGAATATTAAAACATTATGCCTCAGGAATTCATCGCTGAGAGATAGTATGACGTCATCTCTCGAGTCAAGACGGGCTAAAGGCCGTCACACGACCAACGTGAGAGATGCAGTGACGTCACCGCGTGTTTCAAAACTTTCAAATTTGGAGCGTTTTGATAATTTATTTAAATATGAACAAGGGCTCGGAAAATTATGAAATTTTGCACAACTGCTAAACTCAATACGCTCTTTTAGAATATGTAATAAAAAAAAAATGCTGTACGAGCCTATTGCACTCGCGCACCCTTATTGCACTTGAGGCAAAAAGGCCGCATTAGTTTCCCTGAGAATTACAAAGCTGCTCCGAACTGTCCGATGAATGACAAATAGCCTCGTTCCGCAAGGATGATAAACACTACTATATACTACAGGATAGGATGGCCTATCCTCATAAGGCCTGTGTGTAACAAATCCCTATTTTCCCCCCCTTTGCCAAACAACCAGCTGTGACGTAGGCAGCTTGTTATTTCTCGCCTTGACGTAGGCTCTTTAAACAGCTGATGACGTCGGCAATGGTTGCACATCAATGTGGCGACGATTACGAAAAATGAGGCCGATAGGCACTCCTTAGAGTGTGTATTCTCCTTGCTCTTTCCGTACCCGTTCGGCCAATGGAATTCGCTATTATAAACTTTAAAAAAAAAAACTTAATTTTGACAATCATCAAACAAAGAAAAATGTTGGCCTCTTTCTTTAACAACATTTGTCCAACAAAGATAAGTTTAATTAGTTTTATTTTTCATTCTTTATGTTGGCACCACTGATAAAAAATAAATGTCAAGTCAATTCAAACTTCACTAGTGACACTTGTTGACAGCGTCATTGTCAAACAAAACATTAAAAAAAACTTTCCCAAAAATTTTGTAAAAATAACATCATAAAAAAAGAGTTTTTTAATCAACATCGGTCCATAATTGAACAGTTTAATTAGTCTACAAGGGCCTAGTGTTTTTTCTAAAGCAGTTCCAAGCCGTTTCATTGATCGGCCCTAACCTTACATGACCTGTCATTCAAAGTGTTATTAAAATAAGCTTATTATCTTATTATGGTAAATTTAATTAAACATTGTACAATTAATCCCCAATTACTCGTTTATTTTTGCAGATCTAGCACCTATTTCTATGCTTTATTGCTGAGAAGTCCTTTATTATAGTTGTTTACTTAAGCTGTTCTAGCATGTATGAAATCGAAATCAGTCTTTCCTATTGAGGTAACCTTAAGATGTTCAATTCAGGGATTAAAGGAAATCAAAGGCAAGTTTAATAACAAATCAAACCGGCTTGATAATTTGAATACAAATTTTTAGGTGTAATGGTACATATTCTTCACCCTCCCAAGATATATCAGTAGTCAGCAAAGTAGCAAACAATACAAAACATTACAACAACACTACATTTAAGTTATTTAATAATAAGCTAGAAAATAAGGATGTGTATAGAAAAACTAATACTAACAAACCGGTGGACCGTCAACTTAATAGAAATAAAACTACAAATTCAGTCACAAACAAAGCAAAAACATTCAATGGAAATAGTGTTGTTGGGAGTAAGGTGATAAAACCGGAGGATGCTTATGATTTCGAGGACAAAATAGCCATTCACAGTATTATAGGTGAGTGCTTTTTTCCATTTCACAAAAAACCTGGAGTGTTTGACTTTTGTATTTCTTGCAGGCTTACAAGATTCAAATACGCACAAGACTCCGTTAGTTGAAGAACAAAAACCAAAAAAGGAAAACATAAAGGCCACACATCACGAAACATTGGAAAGGATAGAATGCGAAATTGATGCGCCCAATTATTATCAGCAACATTGGTTTAGTCCTAGTTTAGAGGTAAGTGTTGTTTGTTTTCATTAGGTTTATTTGAATGATACTGTCTTCTACTGGGAGGGGATTCTCATCCTCTAGTCGCAACCTAACGTCCCGACTTACCCGTAGAAAGGCAATGGGATAGTCGAGACAATAGGTTGCGACTAGAGGATGAGAATCCCCTACCTGTATTAATGAGTGTAGGAAAAACTCTATGAGCTAAAGCTACTTTACCTACTATCTCATTTCCTCAAAACCCAAATGATGAAATGTTAGTGTGGTACTATAGAGTGTAGAAGTGTACTACCTAACAAGTTCATTCTACAAAAAGATGAGTTTTGAACACTGATAGCACCTAACAATATACTACTTATCTATATACTTACAGCAATGTTCAAGAAAGTATTATTATCACAAAACATCCCCTCCTCATGAAATGAAATGGGTATTAATTTAGCACTTGGCTAGTAGCATAATATACATACTTAATATACAAACAAATAATAAATAGATATAAATAAAGTCAGGGTAAAATCGTATCAAAACTATCAAGAAATCTGTCTCAAATTTCATACTAACATCTTATCAAATATGTGCACATCAGATGCATTTTTAATTTCATTGACAGGGCATTAAAAAGGCAAACACCCTTGTAAAAAAGAGTCTTTTGCTGTTCTGTTGTTTACTTTTTACCACCAGTACATGATAGTTTGATTTAGTACGGACATTGTAAGAATAAATAAAAGATCTTCTGGTAACAATTCCATTTCTATTTTATAAATTAATAGCCTTGTTAATAGCATATGTATTTGTCTTTTTAACGCACTGTTCCACAGGTAGCTATCACAGGCTACCAAATTACATTGTTTCAGCCTCCAATGTTAGTTTCAACAGTAACTCTCTGAAACCGTCTACAGTTTGGTTTAGATTCTATTATCATATACTTGGTCTCAGAAGCATTTAATTTTAACTTATATCTACACATCCAATTATACAAGTACTCAATCCTCGACTCAATCCATCATTCATAATATCAGTGATTCCATGAAAATTTGTCTCCAATACCAACCTGAAATATTTCAGTTAGAGAGTTAGATCTGACATTAGTTCATTATCCTCGAAAAATTAAAATCTCTGTTGGATCTGCTAGTTATACTTATCTCCTTTGCAAAAAATTTTGTTAAATCTATGGAGCAATTTCTCATTCTACAAAGTCTCTGTTAAAGCTGCTTGTTATTTCTCATTTCCACGAATACCTATATGGTGAATTTGTTGAATTCAAAAGACATTTATTGAGTTGGTAAGTTGTTTCTCATTCTTGAGAATCTGTCATGAAGTTCTTCATTCTCAAAAAATAAAAATATCTCTTGGATCTGTCCTGAAGTATTTCAGTTAGATCTGACATGTAGTACATTATTCTCAAAAAATGAAAATTTCTGTTTCATCTGCTAGTTATATTTTCTTTGTAAAAAATTTTGTATTCCCAAAAATATTTGTTAAATCTGCTTTTTATTTCCCATTTCCAAGAATTTATTGCGAATTTGTTGAATTGAACAAGATTGAGTTGGTAAGTTGTTTCTCATTCTTGAAAATCTGTAATGAAGTTCCTCTTTCTCAAAAACAAAAAAAAACAAACTTAGATCTGCCATCAGATCTACCCTAAAAAATCTCGGTTGGATCTGGAATGAAGTTCATTATTACTGTTGGATTAAATTAAAAATACAATATCTACAAAATACAAGTAAAAATCTTAAAAAGATAGCAGCACATTAGTCTGGTTCACCCAATCACATCAAGATGGTCCAAAAGTTATCAACAAGTTCAAATTTCTTAACGTTTGAAAATCTGTAATTATTGTTGATATAAATTAAAACCCCGCCAGTATGTCTACTGTTAGAGTTATATCTACTAGGGATCGACCGATATCGGTATCGGTATATCGGCCTTCTTGGCCGATATCGGTATCGGCCGATATGTTAACCACAATAGCGGCCTATATTGGTATTGGTTTAAAAAAATATAAATTGCTTCATATTTCAGTTGCTGGGGATTTTTTCAAGGAAATTAAAACAGAAATACTAAATAAAAAACAAATCAACTTTATACTTATTCAAAATTTAGCAAAAAAGTCATTAAAAACATGGAATTGAAGTAACACACTAAGGCCCAGTTTATTCATCTTCAGATAAACTTGCTGGTAACTATCTGCATCAAGATAAATTTACCGTTCTGTAATTCTATTGGTCGGCGGATAAGTGCAGATTGCATACAGCATGACAGTTCATTAGAAGGTGAATAAACTGGCACTAAGTTAAAAAAGTAATATTTAATCTTCCATTAGTCGCGCGGGTATCTAGGAGATACATGCCTATTATTTTTGCAAATAATTCAAAAAGGCAGGGCCAATAATTGTAATGACGCAATGTTTATTTGCTTTGTTAAATTGAGGGATTCACCGTATAGATTTTTATTTTATATTCCGCCGGGTGATTTTACAAAATATCGAATTTGCTATGCATTTCCTTTAGTGATTTTATGATGGTTAATCCGTGTATATCATTATAAATCAGGTAAAAGTTTTACCTGATTTATACAGCAAAAAATTTATGACAAAATGGTATGGTCGATATATCGGTATCGGCCAATATCGGCTATGGAGTATATCGGTATCGGCCGATATCGGTATCGGCTACAAAAAATCATATCGGTCGATCCCTAATATCTACAACATATATAATTATCAATACATAATTTACCATCTTCAACATCTTTGGTTGTTCGTGGTTCACTCAGCAGAATGATTTTGGGATTATAAGAAGCAATGCTCTGCCTTATTTGATCTATATTTTTTAGAACACTCTGAGCATTAGGGTAAATGATATCTGAGTTATAAAGTATAGTAGGTGTTAGTGGGATTTTTTTTTTTATTATCTTTTTTATCCATAATCGTTGGTTTATTGATAATGAATTTAATAGTTTTATTCTCGGTTTTATTATTTTATTCACTTTCTACAAGCCTTTGCAGCTCTGCTTTGACACCCCTATAGTAATCTCTCTGCATATTTATTTGATCATTATTCACCTTAACACCCGGAATGCTCATATTTTTTCGGTTCTTCAAGATATTTTTTTGCATCAGCCTCAGATTCCAGAATGACCTTAATGGGCCGAGCCCTGTCTGCAACATACTTCCCAAGTCGGAAACTTCTCAAACTATCCTTGTTTATGTTGAAATTTTCGAGTACTCAGTACATACAAGATTCCTTTCTGCCAGTGTTTTAGCTTTTGATTCATTCACATCAAAAAGTATAATATTTTTTGCTCTATTTTTCCTCTTCATCATCTCATATATTAGGTCCTCTGGCTCTTTCCTATCTTTACCAGAATCGATCGTACACATCTCCGAAACAGGCCGGTCAGAGAAAGCTGTATTTGTTTGCTCCATTTCAACAATTCTCTGTTCAAGTTTCACAATTTTCTCTATTCTATTTCTATATGTTCACTTCTTACCAGCAAATTGTTGGGCACATAAATGCGCAACTTTTATTTATTAACTACCCTTATATTTCTAACACGTACCGATATCCGCATGTTGACCCTCGAATTTGGGACACCCTGTACAGCCAGTACACAGTACAGTGGAAATCATTGCAATTGGCACACACTATGTAAATATCCCTCGTAATGTGTCAAATCTGACACACAGTAATAGCAGTGGCAAAATGCTGCACTAAATAGATTTATTGGTTAGAATTTTGACTTAATACGGGGGATTTTAAAGAGTGTGTGTCAATTGCAATGATTCCGACTGTACCTACATCAGTATTACAGTTTTTGAAATAATTCCAATACTGGTCATAAACCTTATTGAATTTTACTCTGAGTCAGGGTAATTTTCGATTATAGTCAAAACCACCTTAACAAGGAAGGAAACTAATGCTTGGCCAGCGGTTCTGAGTCTACGGAGGGAATTCGGACGTAAATGTGCGATGTTTATTATTATGTACTAATACTAATACTAAGAATGAAGTTGACGTATAGGGTGTAAAAAAAAATAGTGTACCGGACTTCGAGGGGTGATACTACATGTGAAAATAAGAGGAGAAGTTCCTATGAACATATGCCCTATGGAAACTTCCTTTTCATAACTGTTACGGTTATTTTTACTATCACTATTCGCTTTGGCATCGAAATGTATGCGAGAATACCAAATTTCAAGGAAAAAGTTTGTCACTGTTCTTGAAAAAAAATAAAATCTATTATTTTCATCCACCGCTTGAAGGGCTGTAACTTCTTCAAGGAGCATCTTAGGGAATATGTTCATAAGATTTTTCTTCAATTTCATATGTATCACTATTTTTTTTATACCCTGTATAGTTCATTCGAAAATCCATTTTTTAATAACGGAATATAGATAACAATAAAACGCTAAATATTATTATCATTATTATTTGCTTGACAATAGAAAGCGGTTTGACACCGATGAGTCTATCTTCTCTGTCCAATGCTCTGCGTCGTTTCTTTTAATTGTGTTTAGAAGTACTGTACTAAGGTGGAGTTAAGTTCAGATAGGTTTCGATCCAGTCTATTATTGAAAATGTTTTTGTTAGGCGCGTTTATAGTATCCTGGTTTAATGCATTCCACTGGTATACTACGCAGTTGCATAAGAAGTTTTTTCCCAACGCTAAGGATGTTTTCTCTTTCTTGAGCTTCTTGTCATGTCTTCTGAGGTTTTTATTTATGTTTTGTTGAAACATGTCTGCCATATGCAGTTCTGGGAAGAAGTGTCCACATCTTATAAGTCTCTATTAAGTCGCCTCTTTCCCTTCTTTCTTTCAGAGTTGTTAAGTTAAATCTTTGCAATCTGATATCATATGGAAGATTATGCATTTCAGTTGGGATTCTTGTGATTCCTCGTTGCACACGTTCAAGCAGCTCTATATCCTTGCAGTAGTACGGGTTCCAGACTGTGTGTGCGTACTCAAGTTTGGGCCTTATGCAGATTTTTTTGATCATTTGGATA